TAAAGAATGGCCACTATAAGGATATCGTGCTGGGCTGAAACTAAGGAACCCGTTCCAGTCACCAAAAATCCGCCAACGCCATCCGTCCGCGTTGAGAAACAGCGCTTGTCACAGAGCCTGTCCAACTGAGCCCACCCAGAGCTGAAACGTACCCCGAGCAGGTGGTGTGGGACTAATCTTCAAATAGGAGAACCTAGACCGATTTATGATTATGATGGGCAAAAATCATCCGAGAGGCGACTGCGCTCTCACCCTTTTGCAGGCGAGAGCCGCCCCGCATGCCACTGCGCCATCGGGGCGCTCCAGCGGAGGCGCTCCTAGTGCGACTGTAATGGGTAACGCCTGCAGAAACTTTACAGTGTTCTACTCAGAAAGCAGATGATGAAGTTGCTGCTTTACCGAGAGGAGATATTGATTCAACGAGACCAGTGGTGTGCCGGAGACCGACCACGGGTTCGCTGCAGCCACCCTTCGAAATTCGGTCTTTCTGGCGAAAAATGATCACAGGGCTCATCAGGGATGTGAGTCTTGAATGTTTGCATTCTACGATTGTGGCCATCCGGATATCCGTGATGATCCACATTCGAGATCCATTTGGATGCGAAACCCTGCCTCGCGGGACCCATCGGTCCCAATGGGAACCAATTTTGGTTCCCATTGGGCCCGGTGTCCCGCGAGTCAGGGTGTCGCATCCAAATGGCCCGTAAGATGTTACGTATTTCATGCTGGGTAAGAATATTGATGAACACATCTAATTATGCAACGTCAAAAAACTAATCAGATGGTACACATCACGACTTCAAACGGCCATTCCGCCTCACATTCCCCTCTAGCCAGATAGAGCGAAAAGGGGGATATGCGGTGCATCAATATTCCTGAAAAGGAAAGCGCAGTGGGTCCTATTTATCAGTTGTCGACGTTGGTCGATAATCAGATCATCGTGGGTGCTGAACAGATGGTGTAGCGCCCGAACAAGTTTGTCAGACGAGAGCACGGTTGGGATGTCTTTGTAGAGTCGAAGTACCAAGGAGCATATGCAGGCTGTCCTATAGGTCTCCTCACTGCGACCGGTACATACCGACCGTTCGATCGCCTAAGGTCTTCCTTGACCACAACTACTCGATTACCCGGAGATCTGCGGTGCGCCGAGTTCATCGCAACGCCAATGCCCTATCATGGGGTGGAAGCGAATGGCCAAGGCAGGGCCGTACACCTTCGTGTCGCGTGGATCGACTTCGGCCATAACGGAGTTTATATCGGTACGCAAAGCACCTTCTCATCAATTCAGTGACTACAAAGCCACCACCGATTTTTAGCGCAGTATTCCACCTATCTGTGTACTGAGGAGGGAAGTGATCGATTGGATCTCAGTATCGAACGGTCAGTCACTCCGGCGGCCGAGCCTGCTACGATGGCCAGCCCTAGGCGCATTATGGGTACCATATGCGACGGCCAGTCTACATATGCTCATCGTCTTTGAGCCCTACCAGAGACATCCCAAGCACGCTATGACTGATAAGCTCGTTCGGATCCTACACCATCGGTTCAGCACCAACGAAGATCTGGTTTCGACCTACATCGATAACTGATGAACGGGGCCCGCCTCTGTTTTTTTTTTTCGGGAATATCGACACATCTCATATCACCCTCTCTAGGCACCTGGAAGAACATCGCTCATGCTTTCCACTTCATCTGGTTAGAAAATGATGGCAAGTTGAGGGGACCATTCGAATGGTGGTATGTCCGCTCTGACGAGTTTTTTAGCGTTCTATATTTAGCTATGTTCACCAGCATTCTTGACCAGCATAAAATACGTAACATCTTGAGGGCCATTTGGATGCGACACCCTGACTCGCGGGACACCGGGCCCAATGGGAACCAATTTTGGTTCCCATTGGGACCGATGGGTCCCGCGAGGCAGGGTTTCGCATCCAAATGGATCTCGAATGCGGATCGGATACGCTCACACCCACGAGCGGAAATCTCATCCGAGGTTAACAACATTCACATCCGGACCAACAGGGTTGTTGGTTTCGATGTAAACTCAGCGCACCGCTGATTCGAACGGGTTTCTCAAAAAAGCCGTATTTTTGGTGGCTCCAAGGGTATCCGTTGTGGGTATCCATATTATCTTGATATCCTTGCAGTGTCCGTTCAGTTGTAAAAAGCCTTTGAAAAGAGGAGCCACAAAGCACCTGGTGCGATGGGTTCATATACCGCTCAATCAATCACTGAGGTGGCGGCGAATTGCCGAATGCAATGTTGCGCTGGTTGTAATGGCGCGACCGTGGGATCAAATCCGGGCACAGCAGGACTTTTGCAAAAGAATCACGAAGCATATAGGTTCAACTTGCCGCCCAAAAGCTTGATTGATGCAGAGACAAATGGCTGAATGCCATGTAGGGCCCGCAGCACCTGTGCGGTCTTGGGATCGAGCCCAGCGACGGGAGCAGCTTTTTTGACGCAATTCTGAATTTCGCCGATACGGTTTGAAATTTCATCCAGGGCACATAGCCATCCCAACAGCTTCCTTCTTCGATCGATCGCGGGTCGATCCGCGTGCAAAAACAACCATCTCAGTCGATATCGACTGTAGGACAAAAAATGACAAAATCTTTTCACACTGGTGGAAAGACGCCGTATGTACAAACGGCCTTCCAGCCAGCAAGAAATCGGTGTGAACCCTTGGGTTTAAAATACCGGGGATCCGGTGACACAAGGCGGTCGGGTACTGCCATTGCTTCACGGCGGCCTGGCCATTATGGCGCGATCCTGCACCGCATTCAGGCGCATGTGCTCCATCCAGCTCCCGTTGAGGGGCAAGACTACTCAACTGTGTGTGCTGCAGCCAGGGAAGTTCAATGGTGTGCGTCACCCTCACCCACTCGGCCTACTCTCCAACTAGCACATTCAGAGCTGAAACGTACTCTGAGCAGGTTGTGTGCGGTAAATCTTTAGATAAGAGAACCCAGACTGATAAGTGATTGATGATAAGCAAAATTGTGCGCGAGGCGGAAGCGATACCACTCCTTCGCAGGCGATAGCAACCCATTATACCACTGCTCCACTGGGACACCTCTGATCGGACGTTCATAGGACTGCTGTTATAGGTGTGTTCCTTTTTTCCGTTCGGAAGACAGATTTGGGAACGCTATTTCTTAGCGGCCTCATGCTCTTCTGATGGGAGGACAGACAGATTTCCTCTAGAATTGGCACGCTACAAAACTGTAAGGGATTCGAACCACGCGGGAATCGAACCCCGGCGTGTACCGCGCGAGAGTACGCCGATACCGCTACACTACGGGTGTATGGGCGAAAACCTTGCAATTAAGCGCCACTGCTGTTTCACATTACTGGAACTCCCACGGAACGCAGTCGTACCGGTCTACTCGATGCATTCGCAGGTTCTTGAAGCCAGATCCTGATCTCCTTCAGAAGAGACTTGCCAGACTACAAAATTGCAATGCTTTCGGATCAGGCGAAATTCGAACCCGAGTGTGTATCGTGGTGGTCCATGAATTAAGCGCTGCGCCACTGTTTCTCACGCTTGAGGAAGAAGTGACAAAAAAATCAGTCAACAAAATAAAGCTATAAAATCCGATTCTATGCATACGTTTACGATTATAAACGACAAACAAAATATTTCGTCTTTTCATTGCTGACACGATTTGCTGGAATCACTTTCAATTGCGTCCTGTACCCGACGACTGGAAGTGTCGCAATTGCGGACTTGCGATCGCTACGCGAAATACCTAAACTTTAATGAGCTTTTCGTTGCCCCTACCATGCACAGTGGCAAATACGTGAATAGAACCAAAAAACAACTGGTTTTTTTGAAATTGTTCATTTATTCAACAACACAGACATGCATATATCTGTACACAAACGAAAAGCTCATTAAAGTTTAGGTATTTCGCGTAGCGATCGCAAGTCCGCAATTGCGACACTTCCAGT